CACCCCATTTTTGCATCTAATATGAAATTTAGAAAGAAATGTTAAATACAAAAGTTGTAGATATTAACGTCTAGTTTATTTTAAGATAACTCCAATTGATACAGGGAGTTCTAAACTTCAAGTGGCAGACCAAACTTACTTTTTTTTAAATGGGATGCCGTACTTTTTATTGCATATTTAAACTATTCGCACAATTCTAAGCCTATTCTATATAAATGTTCTAATGATTTTCAACTGTTTTTGAGTTAACAGCCAATATTGATTGAACTTTGGCCACCCCACTTTTGCATCTAATTTGAAATTTACAAAAAAATGTTAAATACAAAAGTTGTAGATATTAACGTCTAGTTTATTTTAAGATAATACCAATTGATACAGGGTGTCTCAAATTCAAGTGGCAGACCAAACTTCCCTTTTCTTAAATCGAATGCCATAGTTTTTATTGCATATTCGAACTATTCGCACAATTGTAAGCCTATTCGATATAAATGTTCTATAATGATTTTCAACTGTTTTTGAGTTAATTACCAATATTGTTCGAACTTTGGCCCCCCGTTTTTGCAGCTAATTTGAAATTTAGAGCAAAATATTATATGCAAAAGTTGTAGATATTAACATCTAATTTATTTTAGGATAATAACAATTGCTACAGGGTGTCTCAAGTTCAAGTGCCTGACCAAACTCAAATTTTTATAAATGGAATACGGTCACCATCAGCTATTCTTCTGGGGATAATAATAGGAGAAGGCCTAGAATGTTGCGTATAGTTCAAATATGAAATAAAAAGTGAGCAATTCCATTTAAAAAATTGTAAGTTTGTACCGCCACTTGAGTTTGAGACACCCTGTATCAATTGGTATTATCTTACAATAAACTAGACGTTAATAATTAAAACTTTTGCATTTGATATTTTTCTCTCAATTTTAAATTAGATGTTAAAACGGGCTGGCCAAAATTGAATCAATATTGGTTATTAACTCAAAAACAGTTGAGAATCAATAAAAAGTACGGCATTCCATTTAAAAAAAGGTAAGTTTTTTCTGCCACCTGAATTTGAGACACCCTGTATCAATTGGTATTATCTTGAAATAAACTAGACGTAACTATTTACAACTTTTATATTTAACATTTTGCTCTAAATTTCAAATTAGATGCAAAAGCGAGATGGCCAAAGTTGAATCAATAACCCTGTACAATCAACTTAGTGCTCAACGGAAAATATGTCCAAAAGTCTACCTAAATGTTATCCTTTGGTGTAAAAAAAATTGTTCTAAAATTGTTGAAACGACGCCCTAGTGACGTTTTTCTTCTTCTCTAGTCTTCAACTAAAATTACTTTAACGTTAATTAGTGATTTCATTAAGTTGGGAAAAACTTCAGATGTACATACATATCAACCACCAACTTGTGTCTTCAAGCATCAATAGATCAGAATAGATAGTACGATTCAGTGACCACCCCAGTCACTTGACCCCTTTAGGTTTATATTTATGGAGCCATTTAAGAAACGAAATATTGAAGCAAAAGAACGCTCAGGTGAACACATTAAACAGCACACTGACTGAAAAGGTAAAAATAAGATAAACGGTAAAAATACTACATATCACGTTGTCCAAGCCGTTAAAAAGTAAGTGTTACAACGTACTCGAAGAAGGAAGACATATATAATATACAAAAACTGATGTATGTATCGTTAGAAATACATTCAATTATATTAATAAACTTTTATTTTGCTTAAAACTAGAAAATATATTGCATTGACTTTTGCTTGGCTTTCTATTAATATGCGTCACAACTACAGCTCCGTTATTAACTTAAACAACATCATATCTGTAAAAATGAAGAAGTTACAAATGAGGGACAATTAATTGGTGCTAGCTTTTACTACATATATTCACGTAATAATGTAAAAGTTATAATCAAGTTATGTTTGTCGTTCATTAATGCAAATAAATGCCCACCAGCAGCAGTTATCGCACCATATTTATGGTGGTAGTAAACAAAAAACTTACTATAAAGGTTCCATCAACTCAATGAAAATCGTTAATACACCTACATGCATTTATCGGGACAAATAGATCGTTTCAACCCACACTATCCTAAAAACATAAGCGTCCTTTTAAATTGTTGCTTTTCTACGCTTTTAATTCCCACATCTTTTAATTTTTTGGATGTAATAAGTAAAGCTGACCGTATAGGAACTATGTAGATATTTTGACAAAAGTCGAGATTCACTGTGATGAAATGTGGGAAATGGGGCAAGTTATTTGGATACCCATGAAGAAGGTTTAAATAGCATAAAGAGTTTAAAATATGTTGTTCTTAAATCTACAATGTTGCCTTACCCAGATATACAACTGTAAAACTGTATATATTTTTAGTAATATTAGTTAATAATATGCCATTCAACCTCAGATATTTCGCAAAAACATGGTGAGTAGGCAACGCCGTACCTGTTCAATCTTTAGATCATAAACAAATACACTTACAATAGAAGTACAAAATTATTTTTGAAATACAAATACGTTACAATATATGTACAATATACAGGGTGATATACAGTCGATGCCATATAATATAGGCCGAAAATAGTTTTAGCAATACGACATTCCCACTTGTGTTATTGCACACTTGCATTGGCCCTACGAACCTAACTATTTATGTTTAAACCTTCCTGTACCTACAATTTTATTGATTAATTTGAAAGTTTGCTTTTTAAAAACTGTTTCCGAAACATTAAATAATATTTGTGTATTTTTATCAAAACATTCAAGAAATATTGGATTACTTCGCAGTTTCAATATCATTTTTTTTATTTTGGCTCTGGGTTAGGAAAGCTTTGTTCTTTGTCATACACTCAGAAAGCAATTTGTTCTCATTTATAAAAGATGTCTTGAAATTTGTGACCTACCGGTTAGAGATAAAACAGCTCTATTGCACCATACAGGGTGAATCCAATGGTCCAGTTAATAATACAACTATTTCATCAACAATTATTCTCATGGTTCTGTTCGGAGCAAACGATTCGTTCACATTTTTCAAATTCTCTTATCAATTCTTGAATTAATCAAGATTTAAAAAATATCTTCACATAAATTAAGTTCCAGCAAGATGGTTGATTTTCTTGGGAATTCGGTCTGGACAATGGTAAAGAAAAATAAAAACTTTTGTGGCTACCTAGCTTTCTCATAAATATTTCATCAAGCTGTAAAAAAATTATAGAGTATTCTAGATGGTTCCCAGCCTTCTTATGTTCAAACAATTAGCACCCTGAGGAAGCCGACAATAAATTTCCGAAAGCTTGGTAGCTAAAAAAGTTTTTATTTTTCTGCACCGCTGCCCAGACCGAATTCCCAAAAGCATAAACCATCTTGCAATTCACATAAAATAACAAACTGCATTTATTTTGAAAATTTTATGGTCGAATTTCAGCAATCTGTTTTAAGAGATATTCAAATTAACTCAATTTAATTAATATTAATATCCAACATATATCTAATGCAGACCGGGTGCACCAAGTCCCAGAGTATTTTTGTGAGATGTAAATTAAAGTTGAGTTACGCCTTTAAGCTAGATCAGCTAGAATAAATACACAAATCGTATTTTTTCGGAATATAGGAATTTATAGCTGATAAAAACTTCATTATACTGGAGTTTTTAAAATAAATTTTGTGCAAAGAACATAAATAGCTACAGGCATTTTAGTCCGTGAAATGGTTAGTAAAAATATTTGAGAAGTGATATGCGCGGAAATCTTATACTTTTTTCACAACTTCTGGTTGACCAAATTAATCACGATTAAAAAAATTACACGCTCAGCAGCTATTCTTGTGTGATTACAAGTGTACTTCTCATAGTGTTGAATGTGCATGATATGGGTATCAGAATTTCAGACTTTGATGCAACAGGGCAAATGATATAATCTAGTAACTATTTAATTCTCAAAATTCTCTGAGAAATTGGGATATAAAAATGTTCTAGAGTCAGGTCTACAAATTCGAATGTAGACTTATCTAGTACAAAAATGAATATTTTCAATTTGACAATATTTGTAGAGAAATATAAGCAACACAAGAAGAAAATAGACCGACAACGAGTCGGACAATGGCATTCATTATCCACACTAAAAGGCATGGGAAATGAATCAATAAATGAGAAGATCAAGATGCAGAAACAATATCTGGATATTTCGAAAACATTTATTGTAATACCTACTTATTATTGGTACTTAAGCTTGCACGGTTGATTCTATACACTGCTAAAAAACAATTAAATTCGTTAATAAAAGCTAGACTTGGGCAGATTAAAAAAAAATATTATTAAAAAAATTTATTCGATTGAATCCTTGGACCACCAAAATCGATTTCATCACAAATCAATATGTTTTCAAAGACACTGTTCAGATGAGATCAAACTGAATATATGAACATCATGGACTGTTGTACATCGTAAACAAACCACGCAATCATGGTTCATTCAGCACTTTGACGCTGAGGACACACTGTATGACTAGAATATAGAATGAGATCAATCCGGTAACATTTCTGACAGTGTTTCTAAACTGCAAGACGAAAGCTTACATGCATTTTATCATGTCATCAGTTGAAAAACTAAAGTTTTCTCGGTTCTCAAAATAGTAATATGTAGGTACATAATTTGCAATTTAGCGGCATTTGAGTCAATTGTATAAGAAAACTAGAATTGCTTTTATTGAAATATCATAATGCTTAAACACATTTGGATAAATACACATTCTTTCAGGAATGGATAGATAATGTGAATTGTAACAAATTATTTGTTTTGGGCCAAACTCTAATGAGACAATCTTTAATAATTATAGGTACACGAGTATCATCTTGATTCAAATACTAAACGTAGTTTCCTAATCTAGTTTATAGTATCGTAATTAATTTTATATAAAGACATTGCCTATAAGGCAGATCGTATTGCCAATAAAAAATTTGAACCCCTGCGAAAAATATCATCTATGTAAGTACTCACTTTTAATGCAGTTACACGTTCTAATCCGAGCCGACACTTGTTGCTATTAAATACACAATGCTTTCATGTCCTGATATCCACTACAATTTAAGTATAATTATAAATATAAACACTGGTGTGTACTTTACACACCAGTATATAAAATAATTATTATTTTTAACGAAATCTCCAGGACTTTAGACCGACATGAAGGTAGATGCAAAATGATGTTACATCTGTACTATCACATAATTTGTAATATAAAATTATAACAGTTATAAACAGATGATTCGCGCCAAAAACGAGCGATTTTCAGGGGACATGTTCGAAAAAATATGCGTAACAGACCGTATCCGAGAAGACTGACAACAACACTCAAGGACTCGATTCGTTACCACTACTAACTACCAGGCACCAGGCCGTTTCGTTTATTGGTGTAAAGCCAGACGTGCGATAGTAGGTACCCAAGTACCGCTAGAGGCCGGTAGCACATTACATGTCGAACATCAATAACAATATTTTTTAATAACTCAAAACAAGGCTTTACAGATTTCGGAAGTACGTCGTTACTAAAAACGTTGCAAGAAAAATATTTTTATTGTTGGCACATACTTATAAAATAGAAGCTTTGCTAGTATTCCTCTGTTTAAAAGTTTAAACATTTTTAGTGCTACAACGAATTATGTATTTATTGTTTCTGTCACACCTTTATGTATTTGTTGCAAACTTAACTTTATGTTTCACAATAAAATTTTAACAACGTTTTAAAGAGTCAGCTTTTTAATTTCTTTGATTAATTTCTTATTTGTTTCAATTTGTTCTTTTCAGGCACGTGCCAGGCAAATATGCATTGACTTTATTAGTCTTTGCAAAAGAGAATTATACACATATGTTTTTTAAACGATGGACAGATTCGCAATATTCCCTAAATCGTCTAATTTATTTGATTGGACAGAAAATTCGTAGCAGAATAACTGATAAATGCAATTGATGTAATTGATAGGGTGCTTGTTGTTCACAAGGGTTATAATTTTACTGCCTCGATATCTATATTAAACCGTCAAATTTAATTAAAATAGGCATATCACTTCATGTAGCTTTGGAATTTGTAACAAGGTAACAAGGAGACATTGGTAAGCTGCGAATCGCATCATTCAACTCTTGGATGATCCTCTTTTTGTAATTTCCATTTAAGAATTCGATCTTTTAATATGTTTTTCTATTAGCGATTACTATTCCTGAATTTTTTTTAATAAGGCATTTAAATACTTAGGTATACACATAGCTGCTGATTTTTTTCGGATAATTATTATATCGTGGGCTTAAAGCTAAAAGTGACCAAGTCTAAAATATAAATTTTTGGTAAATACACTTTTAAACCGAGTTTCAAATTGTATGAGAAACCTTTTGGAAACGTTGTCATTAAAAACATATTTTAGTACAAGAGGTTACATGTTTTTGAAACAATTATATAATTTTAAAAATCACTTGGTCAACCAAACACAAATACGGCAATTTTGGACTTTTCACTTGGTCGCTATTAGCTTTAAGCCCACCATATGTTGATTTTTATCAATTTGAGAGAGAAATGTTTTTTGTGACGTAAATACACGATTTGTTCTTCATATAAAATGCCTGGCCGGCAGCGCAATGTATAGTCAATTCTCTGAGACAAAGAGCTCGATATAATGCGCTGTTTACGCTTCTACTGTTTTTTTTTTCGTCTTTTGTGTCCATGATGACTTTTCTCACCTGAAGCATTTCAGTGTAGACGAGAGTTACTTTGCCACAATAGTAAAAGCTATTATAATGGAGAATAACTTGAAAATATATTGATTCAATGTAGGTTGTATGTATAAGAGAAAATAGTAAGAATACATTTGCTCGGCACATTTGCATAGCGGAGAGTTTCCGAACACATACAATTGGCAAAATATTTCTAACTATATCCAGCTTTTATTTTTTGAGCTGATGCATAAAAACTACTGATTTAACATATTGCTAAAACGTAGATAAGTTACGTTAAGTAAACTATTCAAAAAATTGATCAACATATTATAAAAAATCTAAATTAAGCTACTAATATCCGCAATAAATCAAATGTTTGTCAATATATAATTATCCAACCATTGCTCAACATCTTACTAAACCTTTAATTTTTTGACAAAACTGATCCTAACTTTCAATAATTGTCTGTCCTTTAGATGAGATATGATTAGTTTCGAAAAGTTTATTATTGTTGTTCACTTCAATATCTTGACTGTTGATAAACTCCATCGCCTCTTAAAATTTTTTAGTTTATATCATCCCACAACAGACATTTTCTTTCAATTCTCTAAACCAGATCACAGATGAATAATGTATTCTTGTGGAATATAGCTAATTTCGCCATAAATTTGGGAAAGCACCAGGTGACCTTTGGGTGCTTTTGGCTGGATTTTGTACTTTTATCATAGCAACCCTCTACGAACAGTTTAATAAAGCTTTAATTGATCTTCTTCTTTATCTTTATTGACTATCATCATGTTTACATCATAGTTTCTATGTAATTTGTCTCTGTCTGCTGCTATTTCGAAGAGGTCTTCCACTTGTAGATCGGTCTCTAGAGTCTCATGTTGCACATCAAGGACAGTTTCTTTAGACCAATCCATCTTTTCTCCTCTACTTTGCCTTGTATTATGAGTTGAAACAAGTGATATTTTGGACCTCTGATAATATGACCAAGGTACTCGGTCTTTCTCCAGTTGACGGTTTACAGAAGCTCCCTCTCCGCGTCAATCATTATGAGCACATCCTCATTGGAGGTGTGTGTGTAATCCAAGGTATCTTCAGGAGTCGATGGTAACACCATAAATTCAAAGGCCTGGAGTTTATTAATGCTGGCAGCCTTCAACGTCGAAGTCTCGCAGGCGTAGAGCAATGTTGACCACACGTAGCACTTTAAGATCTTCTTTCGTAGATGCATGGAGATAATTATATTGCACATAACTGGTTTCCATGATATAAATGTTTTGCGAGCTATTTCAATCCGAGTTAAGATTTCTTCATTCGAGTCTTCCCTCGCATTCAGCCAGCTACCAAGGTATTTGAAGAGATTAACATGCTCACAACCTTCCCATAGACAAGCAGTTGTCCCGGGTGAGCTTACATCTTTCTCACCGCCATCCATTTTGTTTTGTTGATGTTAGTGTTTAATCGTCTTCGATGACTTGATTCATTTACTATGTCAACCAGAGTCTGGAGGACTTTTGGACTTTCAGCCAGGATGGTATCGTCGGCATATATAATGTTATTTATGGTTTGTTCTCCGACTCTTGCACCCTCCTTTATACCCCCCGTTTGGCCTTCCATCCCCTCTCGAAATATTTGCTCAGAATATGCATTGGACAGTGAGGCGATAAAACACATCCTTGACGTACCTACTCCTCCCTCAAGAAGCATTCCTATTAATGAGATTTATGTGTAAATTTAAATGTTACGTGGCAGTAAAAATGCAACGGAAGAAAAAACATATCGAAGAAATAATTAAAATGAAAACAATCTCATCCCCATATTGTTAAGATCAATGTGCATCTTGTAAATAGAAAAACGTTAAGTTTTGCATTTTAAATTACGATGAGCTGAGTTAAAGGACATGCTGCGTACGTCACCACGGGCTTTACTCACGTCTTATATACTCTAGTCTTACATTATATGCTTAGATCTTTGTTCTTCCAAATTATATGTTTGAGGTGTCCTGATATTGTGGCGGCCTTGTTGACTTATTATCTCACTTCTTCTTAGGGATTAAGGTCTCTATAAAATCTGACTCCAAAGTAGTCGAACCGCATTAGTTGGTCAATGATGGTGGTGTCGTCTATTGCCAGCTTGCACCTTAAAGATTCCTTTGCTATGTCATTGACTTCGTTTTCGCGATAGATCTCTATGATTCTAGATTGATAGATCTAGATTTTCATGTTGTATTTCTCTGTTATGTTATGATCCTCGCTCGGGGTCTTTCTATTTTGTAGTTTTTTTACCGCATCATTTATTTGCTCGAATGTAATAAGTACTTGTCCATCTGTGTCTCTCTCATGTCGCTCGTTACCATCAGGGTCCACGTCCCACTCGGTGATGTCACCAGCATCGTGGAGTCCTTGAAAATATTGTATCTACTTATACTCATTTATGCTATTTATTTCTACGCTCTCATTTGATAACCTTTCAAACTTCTTAAGAGTTTCCATATCCTTCTTGCGAACCATACATGTCATGTTCCATGTCTATGCTAAACTTCCGCCAATCTTCGTTTTTAATTTTGCAAATTCTGGTGTTAACCCCGTTTCTTACTGTGACGTAGGTTTGATATGCCTCTCTTGTCTGCTCACTTCTGGATTTCAAGAGAGCCAAATTTCTTTGTTTCTGATATTGCCTTCATTTCTTCAGTGAACAATGGTTTCGTGTTTGGTTTGCCATTTTTTGGCTTCTTCATCTGCCCTGTGTATGTTGTTTCTCAGTATATCCCAGCTAACTTCAATATTTCCTTCTTTGATTGGGTTGTTTGCTATGTGGTGTTCTAAACGGGTTTCGTACAGTTGCCTTGTGGACTGAACCAATGTTCGGCTCCAATTAGACACCATGAGAACGATCAGTTAGGTCTTGTAGGTTACTCAGTTTCAGACATAATTAGCGATCATGAATCATTCGATATTGATAAATTAATTCCGAAATTTTGGCAGATGGAAGAACTCCAGAATAAAACTTTCTTCTCAAGAGAAGGCAAATATGTGAGGATTTGTTTTTGCAATCATATACAAGGCTAGAAAATGGTGGTTTTCAGGTAGATCTTCCGATGAGGAGCAATAAGGATTATCTTCAATTGGGCGATTCTTTTCATTCTGCTTATAGAAGGTTTCAGTTTCTAGAAAATTAATTCATTAGGAATCCTGCATTATTTAGCGACTACAAAAGCTTTATTGATGAGTACATTGAGCTTAATCATGGAAAATATGTTGAATGTAATTCGGAGGAGATTCAAAAAAGGTTATTCTTGGCGCATCATTGTGTAATTAAAAAGAATGCAAATTCTACAAAACTGCGGGTTGTATTTGACGCTTCAAGTAAAACTGGATCATCTTTAAACGACATTATTTTAAGAGGTTCTACTGTTCAGCCAGAATTGTTCGACATACTGCTGAGATTCCGCACTTCCAAATTTGTGCTAGTTTCCGATATAATAAAATGTACAGGATGATTAATCCAAAGCAATTATTTCTTCAAAATATTTTATGGAGAGAAAATTCACATGATCCAATCAAGGTGATTGAACTTCAAACAATTACATATGGGACTAAGGCTGCTCGATGATTTTTGGCTACTCGATGTCTAAATTAATTGGCTACGGATAAAAGTTCAAATTATCCACTTGCAGCAAATGCTATTTTAAATAATTGTTATATCGA